ATTCCTTTCATGCCTTTCATTCTCCTGTCAGTTTCCTGTCAGTTTCCTTTCACTTCCTTCCATGTTCCTTCTATTTCCGTCAATCATATCTTTGTTTTACGTTCACCTTATTTAATTTCCCTCCTTTCCTTTTTCTTTCATGTCCTTCTGATGTTCCTCTGGTTTCCCTTTCCGTTCGTCTCATTTTCCTTCTCATTTTCCTTCTCATGTTCCTTCTCATTTTCCTTTCATGTCCCTTTCATTTTACTCTCTTGTCACTTCAGTTTCCTTCCCTTTTTCCTTCAAGTCATTCCATTTTTCTTGTATGTCCTGTCATTTTTCAAAATCATATCGAATTTCCGTGCATATTCGTTTCAAATTATGTTCATGGTCCTTGGTTCTTTTCATGATCTTCCTTGCTCGTTTATGCTCGGGGTGCCAATTCATTATGTGATAATGTGCAGCAGTTTTAAAGCGGTCTAGCTTTTGTGCATAGGGCCTCATGCTTTAAAATGCACAAAAACAATGAGAACTGGTTCTGCCATAAAATGCGGTTCCAGCAAATTCCTGCCGAATTGGCATCCAAGTTCATCCAAATTCGAAGACCTTCAGAAATGCCTCTTTAAAAAGGGGTCAGGAAATTCTGTGTCGATGGAGGTATTTTAGAGTGAAGGTGCTCAACTATTTAATGGTTTTCTTCTGTTTATAGCATTCTGTAGCAACAAAATACGGTGGCATTCTTTCGTAGCAATTCCTTAAAATTCCTTAAAAATCCTTAAAATTCCTTAAAATTCCAAAAAACTCATGAAAATTCCTTTAAAATCATTTAAAATCATTAAAATCCGTAAAAATCTTTCAAATTCCGTCAGATTCCTTTAAGATTCTTGAAATTTCCTTAAACTTCCTTGAAATTCCTCTAAGATTCTTGAAAATTCCTTAAACTTCCTTGAAATTCCTTTAAGATTCCTTAAAATTCCTTTAAGATTCCTTAAAATTCCTTTAAGATTCCTTTAAATTCCTTTAAATTCAAAAAAAATCCTTAAAATTCCTTTAACATCCTTTAGAATCATCCGAAATCCTTGAAAATCTTTCAAATTCCTTCAAAGTCCTTTAAAATTCTTTCAACTTCCTCTAAGATTCCTTCAAAGTCCTTAAAACTCCCTAAATTCCTTGAAATTCCTTATAATTCCTTTTAATTTCCTTTAAATTTCCTTAACATTCCTTAAAATTCCTTAGGATTCCTCCAAATTCCTTAAAATTCGCAGATCTAAAATGACATGCCCAATAAAATTGATATAAAGAGATCCTCGAAAAGCACTGGTTCCATTCTGCAATAAAATGCTCCAAACACTCAATTTGTTGCAATAAAAATAGAATGGAATTTTAACATGTTAAAAATCATCAGGATTTCCCTGGCCAATAAAATGCTCAGACCAACCCCTTAACAATAAAATGACAAACCTGACTCCAATGTTGAAATTCCAATACATTACGGATCTCGCTTAGACTATGCACAAGTCATCCATTTCCAGTGTGGAAATTGCCACGGGGATGCTTATGCTTCTTTTCAATTCTTTATTTCTTCCGATGTTCTGCTATCTTCCTTTCATTTTACGTTACTTTATGATATTATGTGTGTTTATTTCATGTCCTTCCACTTTCCTTTCATGCGCGTTACTTCCATGTCCTTCCATTATCTGTTCATATCCTTTCATTGTCCCTGCATGCCATGTCCAAATCCTCACAGATAGAATATTCGGAATGCATGACCTTGGTCACCATGGTGGTCACAATTTATATGTGTGAATATTGGGGAAAAAAACAAATATACACTCATACAAAAGCATTTTCTTTCGTGTTCACATTCCTTTCATGCCTTTCATTCTCCTGTCAGTTTCCTGTCAGTTTCCTTTCACTTCCTTCCATGTTCCTTCTATTTCCGTCAATCATATCTTTGTTTTACGTTCACCTTATTTAATTTCCCTCCTTTCCTTTTGTTCTTTCATGTCCTTCTGATGTTCCTCTGGTTTCCCTTTCCGTTCGTCTCATTTTCCTTCTCATTTTCCTTCTCATGTTCCTTCTCATTTTCCTTTCATGTCCCTTTCATTTTACTCTCTTGTCACTTCAGTTTCCTTCCCTTTTTCCTTCAAGTCATTCCATTTTTCTTGTATGTCCTGTCATTTTTCAAAATCATATCGAATTTCCGTGCATATTTGTTTCAAATTATGTTCATGGTCCTTGGTTCTTTTCATGATCTTCCTTGCTCGTTTATGCATCGGGGTGCCAATTCATTATGTGATAATGTGCAGCAGTTTTAAAGCGGTCTAGCTTTTGTGCATAGGGCCTCATGCTTTAAAATGCACAAAAACAATGAGAACTGGTTCTGCTATAAAATGCGGTTCCAGCAAATTCACGCCGAATTGGCATCCAAGTTCATCCAAATTCGAAGACCTTCAGAAATGCCTCTTTAAAAAGGGGTCAGGAAATTCTTTTTAGATAGAGGTATTTTAGAGTCAAGGTGCTCAAATATTTACTGGTTTTCTTCTGTTTATAGCATTCTGTAGCAACAAAATACGGTGGCATTCTTTCGTAGCAATTCCTTAAAATTCCTTAAAAATCCTTTAAATTCCTTAAAATTCCAAAAAACTCATGAAAATTCCTTAAAAATCATTTAAAATCATTAAAATCCGTAAAAATCTTTCAAATTCCGTCAGATTCCTTTAAGATTCTTGAAATTTCCTTAAACTTCCTTGAAATTCTTTTAAGATTCCTTAAAATTCCTTTAAGATTCCTTGAAATTCCTTTAAGATTCCTTGAAATTCCTTTAAGATTCCTTGAATTTCCTTTAAGATTCCTTTAAATTCCTTTAAGATTCCTTAAGATTCCTTTATATTCCTTTATATTCCTTTAAGATTCCTTAAAATTTCTTTGACAACCTTTAGAATCATCCGAAATCCTTGAAAATCTTTCAATTTCCTTCAAATTCCTTTAAAATTCCTTTAACTTCCTCTAAGATTCCTTCAAAGTCCTTAAAACTCCCTAAATTCCTTGAATTTCCTTATAATTCCTTTCAATTTCCTTTAAAATCCCTTAACATTCCTTTAAGATATGGTTGACGGAAATGTTTTGATTTTTTTTCTAAATTGACAGGACATAAAAATCAAAGGCACATGAAATGAACATGAAAGGAAGTGAAAGGTACATGAAAGGAGCATAGATACAAGGAAATAGAAAAACATTTGGAACCATAGGCTGGGAACATGAAAGGAAAACACAAGGACAATGAAAGGAACTGAAAGCAATCATCCTTTTGTTGATGTTACAGTTGCTACGTTGTCAACCTCACTTTACATAGGTATGGTGCAATATTCATGACATATTTGTACCCTCAGTGGAAGCACTTTACATAGGCATTGTGGCTATTTATGGCTATCTATACCCACTTTTTTGAAGCACTTTACATAGGTACGGCTGGTTGTTTTACCGGGGTCCGTGGAATATTCTATCTGTCTTTAAAGGTATGACAGAATTCTATCTGTGAGGATTTGGTGTTTAGTTCAAAATTTTGAATATTCTATCTGGTAGAAATTGACTATACATATTCCGCAGTGAAATCCTCCCTCTTGAATCCCTCTTCTAGGCATTTGGGCTCTGGATGTCGTCCCGGGGTCCTAGCAGCAACTCGTGTGGTTTCAACTGCGGTCTCTCGCTGCGCGCTTCCAAGCCCGCCAGCAGCGAGGCTGCAGCCAGCCGCAGCACTGAGGAGGGCTCCGCAGATTTCGTGGTCCAGATTTCCAGCTGCAACACTTCCTACACAGCTGGGATCAGCTGGAATGCAGCTGGGATCCAGCTGGGATCCAGCTGGGTAGGGGTCTCCAACTGATCAAAGGATTGAAGCGAACCAGTGATGCTGAATGATGCTCAACCTGAGAAGGGGGCACGAGCCTAGCAAAGACTTTCCTACCAGCATAACCTCATGCTCCTCACTCCGCCCGTCCTTTAGAGAACCAAGAAGGAAAACAAATATGCCGTCCCCAAAGACTTCAGAAACAAATAATGATCACCGTGCTCCTGACCCTCTTCACCCTCCGTGACCAAGAAGTTCACTTTCTTCACCTTCTGGTAGCGACAATTGATACAAACCGGCCTCTCCTTTCCTCTTTCCCCTGTAATTGTTGTTCTAGAGAGGGCGAAGCACCGCAGAACAGTACGAACCCCAGAATGGACTTGCCTAAAGCTATGAACCTTCTCACCAAACTGTGCCAAGTCACGGGCGAGAAGAGTGGGGGCACCATGAGCCATCGATCAAACCGAAGTCGCTGACGGTATTCTTCGAAGGCTGGTGCAGTTTCCCATTCCTCGGAAGCATTCAGCATTTCTGACCGATTTGAGCATACAGTAATCGAAGAAGAGCTTTGCTGGAATCAAGTGCATCAGCTTGATAGAATCAAGTCCTGGGTGTCCTGGGTGTCCTGGGTCTACTTCTGACTGTCTGTATGCAAGCCAAGTCTCGGTCTGGGAGCAACAAGTTGCTTCAATTTCCAACTCCACCATTGCCGGTGCGGAGACTGTTAGCAGGTGTTGATCCTTCAGGGGCAAATACATTGGCCTTTCATAGAAGGTACTGCTGTCGACCACATCCTTACAGGCAGAAGTGGAGGCTTGGCAAGTTCGAAACCAGCAGTCCATGCTCACTGGCCCTTCATGGGCCTCCCGTGATCATGTTTCCCAGTCTACAATTCGAAGGGAGCTGGTTAGGCCCTTTCCCCGGCAAATTAACTAGAACACTTCTTCTGCTTGCCAAGACTCAAGGTCCCCGGCCTGTATAACACAAGGCCCACATCGTCGGCTGATCCAACGCCAACCTGAACGCTTGCGTTTGGGCATGATATGGGATGATACACTCATCAACATCATCAACAATCAGGACTTGAGAGCTGAGACATTCAAGAGTACCACGGGTCAAAAACTTGATCTCAGATGATTCAAACAAATTCTGCATGGCTGTGCAAAGCAGCTGCTTCTGCGATTCTCATGAAGTGCGTCTGGCGTATTCGTTTAGATGCGGGCTGCCAAATGAACAATCGCTGCAGGAGCTTCAGCACCAGAAAAATATTCCTTTTTGTCCTAAGCTTTATCATAGCCTTTGCTCGGCTGGTTCTGCATGGGTTGATCAAGCTGCTCTCTTTCAACAGGCTTGAACATGCAGCGGAGCTCTTGCACCACCGAGTTGCCGCGGTCAAAATGGTTTCCATTTATATAAGCATCAATCATCTTCCCGCGCATCCTCGCCAGCACAAATCCACCATTTGGCAGGCACACCGCCTACATCTTCTTCACGGACGCAGGACAAATGCGGATGCGCCCCACTACATCTGCAATAGTTCTGGTGCCCGTACGGCACATCCATCTCAAAAACTTTATCCTCAGGGAGCCACATCCCTACTGCTATGGTTCGGACCGCATGGTCACCCCAGCGGTGCAGCCAAAAGCCTCCCATGGAATCCAAGTATCTGAAGTAATCCTGATATGGATCTGAACGGAACCAATCAAGTTGCACAATCTCGATGTCGTTCATATAGAGCTGATAGGTCCATTGTATATCATCCTCTCGCACAAATTGGCGCAGGATTGGAGTTCCTCTGGGATCAATGCCCTTCATCTTCATGTACATCAAGGAATGATCCCAAAAGTGCCGCACAGCTCCAGGCAAATCGGGAAGCACATGCGACCAAGTGTAGACGTAGTTGCCTTCATGCATGGCTGCAATGGGATCGGCGCTCACTTCTGCTGGGAAATATCCATCCGTATCCAAAGTCATCGCATATTCAAACTTCTTCAGGACGGGTTGCAGGAAGATCGTTCCACTCCGAAAACGACACATGCCTCGATATCCCAAGGACCATTTGATTTCTTCCAAAGCCGCTTTGCGGCTTGGATCCTCCATGATGAACTCGGGCACCTAAAAATGAGCAACGCTCATCAGAGCCCCTGACAAACATCAACTGCGTTATACAAGTTGGCAAATCAAAGTCGTCCACGGGGTGCTTTACCAATAGTACCGCACAGGGCGGCGGCGGAAGTTTTAAAAATAGGAAACCTATATGGTTGGAGCTGTGGTGGTGCAATGAGTCTAGTGTAATGTAATTGAGTGTTTTGTAGTCTAGTGTAGCGTATTGTAAAATAACGTAGTTGCAGTCGCAGCTGTAGTTGTAGTTGTAGTGTAATGCAGTGTAGTGTAGTGTGGTGTAGTATAGTGTAGTGTCGTGTCGTGTAGCGTGGTGTAGTGTAGCGTAATGTGCTGCAATTAGTGTCGTGTAGTGTAGCCTAATGTAGTTGTAGTTGCAGTTGCGGTTGCAGCTGTAGTTGTAGTTGTAGTTAGTGCCGTGTTGTGTCGTGTCGCGTAGTGTGGTATAATTGAGTGTAGTGAAGTGTAGTGGAGCGTGGTGCAACGTAGTAATTATAGTGTAGTGTAATGTAGCGTAGTGTAATGTAGTTGTAGTTGTAGTTGTAGTTGTAGCGTAATGAAGTGTAACTGAATTTAGTGTAGTGTAGTGAAGTGTAGTTAATGCAGTTGTAGTTGTAGTTGTAGTTGCAGTTGCAGTTGTAGTTGTAGTTGTAGTGTAGTGTAATGTAGTGTGGTGTAGCGTAGGGTAGTGTAGTGTAGTGTAGGGTAGGGTAGTGTAGCGTAGTGTAGTGTAGTGCAGTGCAGTGTAGTGTAGTGTAGTGTACTTGGTGTGGCGCAGCGTACTGTAATGTAGTGTAGTTGTAGTTGTAGTTGTAGTTTGTGTAGCGCAGTGTAGTATAATATAGTATAGCGTAGTGTAGTGTAATGTAATTGAGTGTAACGTAATGTAGTGTAGTGTAGTGGGGTGTAGTGTAGTGTAATGTAATTAGTAAAGTGTAGCGTAGTGTAGTGTAGTGTCGTGCACTTGTAGTTGTAGCTGTAGTTGATTGTAGTTGTAGTTGCAGTGTAATGTAGTGGAGTGGAGTGTAGCGTAGGGTAATTGAGTGTAGTGTAGTGGAGTGTAGCGTAGTGTAATGCAATTAGTGTATTGTAGTGTAGTGTGATGTAGTGAAGTTGTAGCTGTAGTTGTAGTTGTAGTGTAATGTAGTGTAGTGTAGTGGACTGCAGTGTAGTGGTGGTTGTAGTTGAAACTGCTACAAAACCCTCACGCATAGATGTCCTTTTCCCATTGGTTGGTTGGTTACTAGAGGGGTTTGCTTACCCCTTTAACAAAAGGTAAATGATGATAGGTGGTATACAAAACCGGCCCATCTATTCTTACCAAAAGGACATTAGCCCTCACGTTTTTGCTTACTTTTGACAAGGCGCGCAATCATCACAATCCCCTGCTCCTGCCACGCAAAACGGCACCTAAACGTCCAAAAGTGTTCCGTGCCCCTCAATTTTTTGCACTTTTGACTTCGAAATGTGCTTCGCGCCACAACGGCGTGCACTTTTTCGACAGTGCAACTTCCAAAAGTGCTCCGACACTGAGGTGTTTTGTACATTTTGACTTCCACATGCGCAACGGCGTGCACTTTTTCGACATCGCAACTATCGCAACTACCAAAAGTGCTCCAAACGTGATGTGCTTTGAGCTTTTTCACTTCGAAATGTGCTTCGCGCCAGAACGGCGTGCAACTTTTCATCTCCAATCTGGCCAGATGGCTCCGCACCCGCTGCTTTAGCGAGCCTACTTTTCGACCCTCCGGAGCCACAAATCATTGGAAAAACACAGTGTTTCGCGACTTTTCTACCTTTTCACGCAACTGCATCTTCTGTCGTCTGACTCTTTCTCTTCCCTGATCTTCTTTCTTCTTTTCTTCTCTTCTCTGATTCTTCCCACCTCTGGTTTTCATCTGTCCATATTGTCGGAAGTTTGACTTCTAAAGTTCCTTCGATAATTATATTCATATCTGAGATATTGAAATATTACGTTTTGATGTATGCGTGTATGCATGTATGGATGCATGTATGCATGCATGGATGGATGGATGGATGGATGCATGTAATGTATGCAACGTAATGTAAATGTAAATGGTAATGTAGATGTAAATTGTAATGTAATAATGTAATGTAGTGTAATGTAGCGGTAATGTATGTGCGTACAACACCAGGACAAACTTGTTCCTCTTGACTAGCCGCTGCAACCCTCTCCCCTTAGACTCCTGACAGGTTTCATATGAATCACATGGCGGATCGCGGATCAGCTGGTTTGCTTTAAAAGAGTCTTAATTTATTCAGACTTGAAATACGATCCGCCGCAGGCCATGCGAAATGAAGATAATTGATCCGCGGCTGAGCATCATGATGCTTATAAGACTCTAAACGGGAAAAAACTTTCTTCCTCCTGATGTATGTGTGCGTGTGCATGCATGCAATGTAATGTAATGTAACGTAGCGTCACGTGACGTGACGTGACGTGACGTGACGTGATGTAATGTAATGTATGAATGTATGTATGTATGATTATGTATGTGCACACATGTAAATACGATTAAATACGATTAAATAAGTATTTCCTCATTTATTTCAATGTATTATATATATTATGTATATATATATATATATGTTTATTTCTTTATTTTTGCATGTGAATGATATCACCGTTCCATACAGTTCCATACAGTTCCCAATATTTCTGAATACTCCCCCAACATCCCCCAACATCCCCCAACGATTCCTAGAGTCAAGCAAAGCTTTGAAAAAATTCGAGCCTTGAGGTAGTCATCTACATATGCAAACCAAATACGATTCTTCGAGGCATTCACCACCTGTTGGCGGTGAACGTCTGAAAGCCCGTCATGAAAAATCACCACTGGGTAGTCAAACCGCCGATTGAAACGACGCCAGAGACGAGGTAAGCTGTGCTGAATATCTTCGATGTCAGTGTCATCATCCGAGGTAAGGTAATGAAGCACCGCCGTGAAGTTGCGCTGTGCATCCTGAGGGCTCTGGTCCAATTGCTCGCACAAGGGCCCCCGGAAAGGTGGAAAACATTCGCAGAAACCCTCCACACAGCGGCCTCGACCTGTGGACTCCAAGAAATATCGCATGCCAGGAATCTCAATAATCTCCTTCACAGCCCACTGTCTTGAGATGCTTCTAGACCCACTCCGCGACTCAGGACGAACTGCAACTAGACCGTCTAGATCCTGGTCCGTGGCATCAACCTCGCCTTCCATCTGAAAGCCTCCTGGGGAATCTTCACCCGCAGCCTGCGCAGCCTGCGCAGCCGCAGCTCTAGACCTCTGGCAGTCCGCATCCCCAGAGATCCAGCCACGTTCTGATTTGATCTCAGCTGGTCGGCCAGCCCAAATCCAACAAAGTGGTTGACCATAGACCGCCGTTGGATCATAGGTCCAATAACTGCAACTGTTGCTGTTGCAGTGTGCCACACAAGCTCCAACAGAATCCTGCAGACTCTCTGAAGCCGCAGCATCGTTGCCCCAGCCTCGATGATCTGGGCGAATGCAACTGGCCATTTTGGGATCATCCACCTGTGCCAAGTGCTTTGCACAGTCAAAGTTCCGTTGCTGAACTACAATGCTTTGGCGATCCAAGAAGTGACACAGAATTTTCTCCTTCTCTCTTGAGTGCACTGATGGATCTGACAATCGACCCATGTCAGGACCTCCCAGCAACTCCAGCTTGGAGAAAAAACGGTGCGCTGGTAAACAATGCCATCCTCTCAGCCAACTAGCAAAGCTATCCTGTTGGTTTCGGCTGGCCAAGCCTTTTTGGATATCTTTCCGGACGAACACGGCGTAGGCACCTGAGACATGGTGCAGGACGTAGCGAAACTTCTTGACTTGCATACGTTCTAGCATCCTGCTCACCGCAGCCAAAGAACATTGCCCAAGCCACATTGCTGATGTCAAATACTCATCCATGAATTCGTTGCTGGTAACATCGGTCAAATGCTCCGAGCTGTGCTGGACCCATCCCTTTGCCAAAGGAGTGCTTTGCAAAGCTGGACGCATCACATGCCACCATGCTTCAAAACGAGGAGTGACTTCAAACGGTGGAGGAATGATGGGGTTGATTGGGACCACCAGAATTTTAGGCTTCAAAGGAGCTCCAGAAAAGAGGTACTCAATCGCGTAGCAGTTGTGGGTTGCCGGATGCAAGAAGAAAAGGTCAGGTGAAGGTTCTGGCGATTGGCGCCACACAACATCCAAGCGGTGGAACAAGTGCTCGATGGAGACAGTGTCAAAGTGGTGGCTACCATATCCTTGCAGCACATCATAATAGCTGCTGGGAGCCGCTTGTGACACATCCCCCAACCTTCGTCCAGCCATCCGAAGCTCTCCGATGTATGGTGGATGTATGTTCACTGAGAAAACATAGCCTCCAAATCCCAAAACCTCCAGGCACAAACTTGGGTCATAGTGCACGTTTTTTCCAGTGCAACTGAAGTTTTGCGCCCATGCACCTGTGCCTGTGGGGCGCAAGGCGATGAAAGAGTGAGAGAGATCCATGTGAGCCGCCTCAATTTCATCCAGCAGTTGTATGACTTTCGGCACCGCGTTTTTCTCACCCCAGGCGCTAAAACGCCAACGCCTTGGCCAGCCACTCTCCGTGGAGAGGTCACCTTCTTGGCTCAGGAAGGGGGATGCAACGCCTTGACAAAGCTGACCACTGGAGGAACTCTTTCCGCCAGGACCAGAGTATAGCCGCAGGGCAGCACCAGCCGTGGCCAGGGACCTCAAAACAGTAAAGGAAAGCTCCCCTCCATCCATCACATCGCCACGCGGACGTGGAGAAATGTATGAGCTCGAAGAAGCTGCAGGATTGGAGGTGTCGAAGGTGACACCAGACAGGATAATATGACTTTGATTGTTCTTGGACTGCAAGGACAGCACCTGCATGGCCGGAAACAAAATCCTCGAAGCCACGCGAGCCACACAAGTAGCGTGTGCCTCGTCCCAATCGATTCCTTCAGGGGCTTGATCCGGACCTCCCATCTGAAGATTTGCAGCATAAGTCTTGGCTTCCCGGAGATACATTTGAGAAGCAGCCCTGAAATCATCAGATGGCTCGTCCAGCAATAGCTCGAGGTCCAACTGCAAGTTGTTCAACTTTTCTACCAGTCGTACTGTTGAGAATGACGTCTCTAGGTCTGGTTCGGTGCAGGCCTGAGGACATAAAATCAAGCAAGCAAATAGGCGGAAAGACTCAAATATCTCCAAGAAGTCTTGCGCCAATGAATTGATCTGAAAAAGTCGGATGTGCTCCGCCACTACCTTAGCCCTGCCGTGGCTGTAGCCACCATAAAAACCCAAGAAGTGCTCCAAGGTATCCTCCAAGTTTTCATAAGTGGCAAAGAGCTGCCGGTCGAAAGGACATTGAAGGGGTCGCAAACTAGTGGAAACTGTGACACAAACCACAGCTGCCAGGATCTGGCGCACCATTGCACATGCCGCAGCGTGCCGCAGTGTTCCGCGATCCAAGTCGAGCAAGCCGGAGGATGGTTCTTTTCTTTGCTTTGCGTGCCCTGCTCTGGAATCTCTGCTCTAAGGTTGTGGCAATGTGGCAAATGGTTTCTACTTGGAGTTGTGGGATCTATTAATGCTTGGGCGATTTCATACCAGTTTCATCCGATTTGGTGTAGCACTGAGCCTAGGGGCCAACTCCAGTCCGTTGAATACAGGCATCGTTCTACTAGCCTGGGCTAAACACTGCGAGTTCGATGCAAGTCGAAGTGGCGAATAGGCTTTTTGGTAGTCTCAATTCTACTCCACTAAAAGATGCTAGAAGGGGATGTGCAAATGGCACGTTCATGTCCAAATTCAGCACTGCGCTGCGTGCCTGACAACCAACAATACTCCACGATATGCAAACTGACATGAATGACCTGCGTAGAATTTGGCCACCTTTGTGATTGATGACCTGTGACCCATGACCCATTCAGCTGGTTTATTAGCCTAAAGATGTCTACAGATGCCTTAAAAGAATGCATTGAAAGTTCTTCTCCAAATTTCGTCGAAGGCAGAGGCACTGTCTGGCTGTGTGGAGTTGGAGGCAGCTGCAGCCAAGGGAAGCTCGGGCGCAACACCTGGTGCCACTGTGAGGTGCTGCACAAAGCGCACCACATCGATCATGGATTCCTGTCAAATGAGAAAATCACCGAGTCAATCACATGATGATCACTGGCGAAAGCAAGTTCTCTAAACCTTACAAACCATCACAAATCATCACAAACCAGACAAGACATGACAAGATCATACAATACAGAGGCGTATGGTCCGTATGATTGTGTGCATGACTGTGCATGTTCGAGTTTTCAATGACAGTGGTGATAGTGGCTTTTCTCGAACACAATGACAAGCATTCACCAAGCCAGGAGCTCAAACAACAGGAAGAGAACTTGCTCGTACAAAAGCAGAAGAAGTTGAACTGTGAAAGTGGGCACGAGGATTAATATATAATAAGGAAAAACATTTTTTGTCGAGGCTGCCTGCCAAGGATATATTATTGAATCTTCGCAGGATGCCCATGGGTTCCCAGCTTTGCGGTTATGTTTGATCAGCAGGGTCCTGCACCCCCGGCACTGAAGCAAATTCATGCAATGCAGGCTTCGCTCGGGAGACGAATACCTCTACAACGAAGCGGGGTTGTCGTGGGAGGGATTCAAACAAGAGGCTCTCAAGTCAAACTGTAAATTTGCGTACATTTATGCAATGTGAGTAAATGCTCCTAAAATTGGGAGCTGCAAATTTGGATGTGGCTTTCACGCCTCAATGATCTTAATGCATCTTAATGCTAGAATATGCCAGATTTCCAACATGGCATGGAAAATCATGGAAACACATCTCTCATGGATTGCCCTTGCGGGCCTTCCCCTTGTCCACCTGAAAGGAGCGATGCCGCAGGCGAAAGGCCACTGGAGCAAAGCTCCGGAAAAAGTCCTGCATTGAGAGGTATGATTTGTTATGACACTTCAGCGCGTGAACGGGAAGGCCTTCTGGACCAAGATCATTTCTCTTGGAATTTCATATTATACAGTACATTATTATGTAGATGTTTGACTTTGGCAATCCCTTGTCTACAGGTTTCTTCATTCCTTTCTTCCTCGCAGGAGAATAGACCGAGTCGACATGACTAGATCTGATTAAGTACTCTTTGGCAACAGTGAATGTCCAACCGTCCAACCCCACCAAAGTCCTGCCGTAGCAAGGTGCGCCGCAGTGTGTTCCCCACGGTGCCACCTTGCCGTGCAGGGATGTCATCAACGCGAAAACGGCTGTAGGTGACAGAGCCGTCGATGTCATCCTCCTCCTGCCAATGCTCACAGTGGATCGCTGTGATGGAAATGATGGGGAGATGGCCCGGCAAACCAAGGAAAGGGAATCATGGAGGCCCCAAAGCCACCAACACTGCAGTGAGTTGATTGTGTCTTATCATATTGACCTCACACAGGTGACTATCATTTGGAGCTCGAATTTGGAATGACATTGCAACTGAGCAAACACATGGAGGTCTGAGGGGTACCCCTAAATCATCCATTTTAATAAGATTTTTATCTTCTTATTATTATTACTATATAACCATCATTAACCATCTATTTTAGGGTGTCCCCATCTGTGGAACCCCCCACGAAGCACTTCAGCATGGCAGTCCTCTAGGGACCAGCGACCTCCAGCAATTCCGGTGGCAAATTCGCCATAGGACGCAAAGATTTCCGTCATGGTATCCTGGCAAACAAAGCAGCACAAAATCAGCACAAGCAAACACGCCGATTGGAGCAAAACATAGCAAAACTAAACGCACGCCGATTGCATTCGCCACCTGATGATCAGAAAAGGATTGTAAGCTATACAGAGCATTGGCTGCACCATTGACATCAGGTTACATGGGTGGAATTTGGGAAAGAAATCAGCAGAAAAACCTAGCAGAAGAAATCAGCAGGACGGCCAGTCTCCGGAATCATTGTGAATCGATATTAGATGAATCAACGTGAATCAGTATGAATCGGTTCCGGTCAGTTTGAAGAACATTTCAGATCAATTCAGAACGTTGCGGAATATCGCGGAATTGCATATTGACAATATATTGACAATATATTGAGTGTTCATTTGTTGACCCTGTGCCACATGGTCCTCCAGCCGCGGGACCACGGCTCGGAGTGGCCGAGAGCGGCGAAGTCGTCGGCTCAACGAGACACATGGTAGGGCTGCCAACCTCACAGACAGCGGAGGCATGTGGATGTTATGGGGACATGGGATGACATGGGGTGCCAACATGACTCCTTGACTCCTTGATCACGCTCTAGTAGTCTACACCCTACCTTTCCATACAGTACTGGTTGCCATACCGATCCATCCATCCGGTAGAATCTTTGCGTCCAAGAGACCCAAGTGGCGCCAAGGAGTTGTCAGCTCTCCAAACCTGCGGTCTCGCTCTCCGAGCTGGTCGAACGAGTGGCGGACGCCATGGCATGGCCGGAAGCGGAGCAAGCTCCATGGCAGCTGTAGTATTACAGTAGAGGGTTCATCGCATACATATGAGAACGTGCGGTCTCACATGGTCACATGCTTCTGCTATCAGTCTTCACATTAAAAACTTGAATTATACCTACATTGGTCATTGTCATATTACTTCTTTATATTATCTTAATATTATTAATGTACGTGTGCGTGTTGTTCTAACTGCATCGGCTCTGGAAAATCTCCCTTGACCTCACATTCAAACGTGATGGCATGTGTGTCCCACGTGACTCTACAGTAGTCGGCGAAAAGGATTGCATGCCTCATCCACTTTTTAGTTGGAGTTGACATCTATCAAAGCCAGCTGCATGCAAGCCTCCGCTTGCAAAAGGCTTGGCCCTAGAATCAAGCTTGCTTGTCTTGTTTTTAGGTGCCTCTGCACCCATGAATTTCAGATGCTGCAGTCAGGGATAATAACGCCGCGACTTCATGTATCAATCATCTATCTCTCTCCCCGTATAGTTATAAATGTATATAAATGTGTTATCCGGAATGGTGCTATGCGACCATACTGTGATACCCTCACTCCAACGTACATGGGATTGACTGTATACAATTGTAGGCACACACATTACAAACATGGGCGCATTTTATGGGTAAGCGGATGTAAGCGGTAAGCACCTGAGTTCAACTGAGAGAATCCGTCACGGTGTTCCTACCCGCATAACCCTGGCCATTCAGCAAGGCCCTTATACACTTGAGTGCCCAACTGCTCAATCCGATTCAGTTTCCTTAGAAGGCGTTCATAAGCTGCAGCGTCCGCCATAAGCCCTTTTGGAATCAACCCTGGTGACCCTTCCAATAACGTCAGAGTCATACCAGTCACCCTTGCAATGTCGTGCACGGGTGCTCTTTCCAATACTGGAACCAGGAACGGTCATACAAGAGTTATGTTTGCTCTTCTTTCTGCTAGCAGGTCGGCAAGTCCCAAAAAAAGGTCAGTTCTGGCTTCTGACGGCGCCTATGACATCCTTCCAAAAGGCCGTTTGGTAAGCGAACATGAATCATTATGAATCAAATTGAATCAATATGAATCATTATGAGTCATTATGAACTGCCATGATTCGATGAATGCGATAGACTCCGATAGACTCCGATAGACTCACGTTCTTCATGGTGGGGAGATGTGGGGAGTACATCCGAGTCGCGTCGAAAGCTCCTCTACAAGATCCGGAGCCTCCTGTGCAGGTGTGGCGCAGGGAAGTGGAATGTTGCAGGTGAAGAATGGTCCTTGATGGTCCTGGGATAGCTCATGCTTGAAGCATGCCACTGAGACCCTTCCCCCTCAGTATATAACTTGGAGCTTAACAGCAATGAATGATATGGATTGCATGCAGGATATTGTATGCAATGCAACTGGACCACCAAACTGATCAACATTATATAGTTCAACTCCAAGGGTTTAGGCATACCCATTACCAGCCCATGAAAAACTGTCCGGTCCTCGTTGTTAGAGGCGAGCGGGTATCCATCATTCATGGTGCCAGACATGTTGTCCAGCTGCGATGGAAGGCGAGCTGGCTATAATGTTCACGATGTGGCTGCATGTTGCTCTGTTAAGGCTAAGGAGTGGTGAAGTCAAAATTTTTAACGGTACTGAGACATGTTGACAGTGGCAAAGCAATCCCATCTGCGTGTCGTGTCATTCCAAAGATCTACCAAAAATTGCAAGTATGCATTGGATCGCACTCTGTCATGGGCCGATTGCTGAAGTTTCCGTGTGAGAAGCGGGCGGCGCGTGAAATGGAACCAGCAAAACACTTGAAATAAATAAATATAATATATATATATATATATATTCATGCATTTTTTCATGCATATACATATGTCAGAACATGTCAAAACAATTAATTAAAAACATTCCCGGCTGCACAGCCAATACAGTACGAGTCCAAGTATAAGTATGACTCAGTTTGAGTTTGTGCTGTGCGCTTCAGTTGTGACACAAGAAGAAACTGCAGAAGCGTTCTTCTAAACTTCAACACCTTGTCCGAAAGATCCAAGAGCATCAAAAACATGTGTATATATATATATATATAAATTAATATTATTACTGATTGGTCAAAATGTTGTCAGCCTACTGGTATTACAGTCAAGTTACTCAACGCCAGCATCACCAAGTTCCGATCTTGCCGCAAGCGAGGTGACACATTCCTAAGTTCACAAACTTGCCAAAACGTACAGTAGTTTGCTTCGACCCGGAATGTGTGCAGGATCTCAAGTCTGCTGCACTTCTTTCATTCATGGTTGCAGGCATCCAGAGCTGGATAGCCGCGTAGTCTTAGCTATGTCTGTACCTGGGAATTGTCCTCCACTTTTGTCACGACATGCATGTAGTCAGTTGATGTCAGTTGGGTCTCAGCATCGACTGCGGCAAGCACAGTGTCATTTTCATCTTCGGCTTTCTTGACAGCTTGGGAGCTCGTGAACGGATGTTTTACCTCTTTGCACACCCGCGTTGAAACATGTGGATGTGTCTGATATTTTTCTTTCTGGCAAGGACCAGCGAGGAATTTCATGTTTTTCTGTTGGCTCTGCATGCAGGCCCTCTTGCACGGATATGCCAAGAAACAAGAGTTGCAAACCATCATTGCTCACAGCAGTGCGGACAATCTCGTCATCATCACCTGTGGACTTGACGGAGAGAGACCAAGACTCAGCGTCCCGTGAAATAAACATGCTCTACGGGCCAAATCGCTGACCTCAAAAGACAGCAGGTGTCCTTATGGTGATTTGGGATCAGCAATGGCAAGTGTCATCAAATAAAACTTGTATAAACTTAAACTGCTCTAAATCCAAGACACGCATCTGTGCCGAGCAATGGATCAAAGCTTCACCTCTGTCACTGACAGCTTCCATGCAAACATCCTTGTCATTGGATAGGCCTGGTGTCGGAGTCAAAAAGTAATTAAAACAAAATGAAGCAAATAATTGCAGTACAGTAGTATATGACAGTATATGTGCAAGCCACACCTCAAGCACATGAGAAAACGATGGATGGCAGGAAGCGAGTGGGGTGAACATTTGCAATGCAGCAACCCTAAGCCTCTCTCTCTCTCTC